TGAATGACTCCAGTGAAGGAGCATTGACATTTTTGTTAAGCAGAATTTTTTCAGGCTTGAGACACAGTACAAGTGTTAAGAAACTTGCCTTGCACATAACCAGCCCAAGCTCAAAACCCTGGCATCACATATGGTCCTCTGAATAGCCCCAGGAGTTGACCCTGAGCACTGCCAAATGTGTCCCAACCACCACGCCCCAACCCTCACCACAAAAAAATTAAAAGTGCTCAGAAATATGTATTATTTTTGACCAAAGCTAAGACATAGAAATGCATTTTATACAGACCGATACTAATCTGTTTGTGTAAAGTTGTGGCCTCACCCACATTCTGAGAACTATGGCGACCAACTTTTGTTGTTCCTACTCCTCTTTGGGGGAGTCTTTTCTTCAGATTCCACTGCATTTCCATCTCCTTTCTTAATATCTCTTAGACTCAGGTGGGGGAGGAGGAGTGTTTCCCAAGCAGTGTCAGGAGGCATGGAGGCCCTGCCTGCAATTCTCTGGCAATCAGAATATTAATATAATACAAGGACTCAAGGATCTGATGCTGCCAGGGCCCTGCAGTGCCAGTGCCAGAGGCCTACAGGGCTACACCCAGTGATGTTCATGATATCATGTGATGCCAGGAATTGAACCCAGGTTGGGCACATGCCAGGCATGCATCTTAAACACTGTACTATTTTCCAGCCACACCTCCCAAATTTTCTTGAGAAGGAAGAGCTACAGAAGTCCCAACCCTCAGTGCTGAGCAGGGGTTTTTACAATTATCCAAGGCAAGGTTTTAATTCTGGATTCAAATAATGCCCCTTTTGGTAATTGTGGAAGAGAAAAACTAGAGCCAATAGACCATCAATGACTGATAGTCCACTGAGCACAGAATATGACTGGCTGTAGTGAGGAATAACATGCAGCCATATACTGAAAAAGGGGAAAATCACTGGATTTAGTATCAGGAACTTAGACTCAAAACTTGGCTCATATTAAACACTTAGCAATTCATATAACTTGGGGATAGGAGAGATAGTACAGCGATTCAATCACTTGCTTTGCACATGGCTGACCCTAGTTTGATTCCCAGCACCCATTGAGGGTCCTCCAAACTGAGAGGAATCCCTGAGCACTGCTGAGCATAACCCTCCACAAGAAATTTACACAACTCACAACTTCTGTGCTCTCACTTTTTCAGCTTAAAAACAGATATGATATTATGTACCTCTAGGAATGGTGTTCAAGATGAAATAAACTAATAGATGGAGAGGTCCCAGGACATCTTAGGGAAGCAAGAAGTAGACTCTGTGTGTACACCTTTCCTCCCGATACCTGTAAGGAGTCACTTTCAAATAAATATAATGAAACATTGAGAATAGTAAAAAAAGAACTCAGTTTTTTCTTAGCAATAATTCATTACCAACACTTAGGAAAACTCACAGTCCCTTCCTACTTTTCTTAGATCAGCATAACTAAATCCTTCCACAACTCACAAGTTACTTCAACCAAAGTCCCCAGATTACAGAATGCGTATTTTCTAACTCATCTTCATTATGGCACTCAATATAGCCTGTCTACCCAGGATATTTGCTCCTGTTATTTTCTCTCTTGGGGTTTTCATCATCAAAGTCAAAGAACTGAGCATGAAAAGGATAGATATGCTACAAAGTTGAAGTATGTTAATCTATTTGATAATTATCATGCAATATCACTGGAGGTACAAAATCCAAGATCGGAGTGCCGTTATCCTTCAGGTTCTGGTAAAGTCCATCTTCTGGGTTACAGAATGCCGACTTCTTCCAGTGCCCTCAGACTTTTGGGTCAGCAGCTCTGTCAGGCCTCTTAATGAAGGCACTAATCTCATTCACGAGGGTGGTGGCTGATCTAGTCATCTCTGAAAGGCCCCACTTCCTAATATTATCACATCAGAGGATTTCAACATGTGGATTTGGGGTAGGGGAAGGGCACAAACATTCAGACTATAGCACCTGGGACTGTCAGCAAAAAAAAAAAGTAGAAAGAAAGAAAGAAAGAAAGAAAGAAGGAAAGTGCCTGCCATAGAGACAAGCTTCGGGGGAGGGTGACCGGAGGGAAACTAGGAATTAGTGGTGGGAAATGTACACTGGATGGGTGTTGGAACACTGTATGACTGAAACCCAACTGCTTTGTAATTCTATTCATGGTGTTTCAATAAAAAAATAAAATAAAAATAATAATAAATAAGTAGAAAAAAAAACATTCCTCCTTTCTGGAGCATTCTGAGTGAGTACATTTACATTTTTGTGTGTTTGTTTGGGAGCCACACCCAGCAGTATTCAGGGTTTACTCCTGGCTCTGTGCTCAGGAGTCACTCCTCGTGGAGCTCTGGGTATCAAACGTGGGTCAGCCTTATGAAAGGCCAGTGCCTTACCTGCTATACTATCTCTCCAGCCCTATCACGCATGTTTATATTTTAATGGTTGCCCTATTTAAAGAGACAGATGAAAGCCAGTCACAGAATTAGAGTCAGCAGAAGTTTGGTCAAACTTGCTGAGGCATCTGGAGCAGAGCTGCTGCTCTCTGATTGGAGTGGGCTAATCCCAGCTAGAGGATAGGCTTCCAGATGCTTCCTGGTAGGGTCAGCATCCAGTCCGGGAACCCCACGTCCTCAAAGAGCAGAGCAGGTGCTCTCCCGGGAGATTTCTCTGCAGCTGCCATCTGCTGCAGCACAAAATATTCTCTTCTATGGCTAGGCAGTGTCCATGTAAATGAGTGTCTGCCATTTTGCAGAAGGAAGAACTCTGTCTCTGAGTTCAACAAAAATGGTCACATCCTGTAAATACAGAAAACTTTCCATTTCCCTTAGGTCACACTTGTCTCTAAGTGGAATCTAGTGCTGCTTTTCTTCATACTTGGGATTCCTCCTCAGAAACTAATTCAAAGGGACATCTCACTTTAAAAAATAATAAAGTGGCTGTTGTTTAGATAATTGATTCAAGGCAGTGTCTGGTGTTTTATTTGAATCTTTTGAAGAGTTTTTCCTCCGAGGGTGGAGGTAGATTTTTTGTTTGTTTATGTTTTTGTTTTGTTTTGCTTTGGGCAGTGCTCAGGGGTGTCAGGGAATGAATTCAAGTCAGTGGCATGCAAGGCAAGTGCCATACCTTTACATATTATCTCTCCAGCACCTGGGGGTGGTGAAGACCAAGGCATTTTATTTTATGTGATTTTTATCTAATTTTAGTTTCATGTCATTCTTTTTTTTAATTTTTAGAATAAATACCATTTACTTACAGTGGTATTTGCAAACCTAAATAATCTCTCATCAATTTTCTGTATTGACCATTTTCATCTTCGTTGAAGCCATGCTCGTCTTTGGAAGGCAGTGCCAGGACATGCCCATTATCTCGTTCGGAATCCATCTCCATTCCCTAATTAGCCCCGCCATACTGATAGCCTATTTCTGCACATTCCTAGCTCTGAAAGGATGTGATTTGGCATCTGTGGGGTAGTTTTTTTTTTAACCCTTGCATTATTTCATATTGTTACCTATATTTATTATTTTATGTTAATCTTTTCCTTACAACCAACCAATTCACTTGGCTTAGCTGCCTTCACATACCAGATTTTTAATCTATAGTTATTCTTCCTACTTGGTGTAGAAAAAAAAGTTTACATTTTTCTTTTTTTTTTTTTTAAGAGAAAGAGAGGACTCGGGATGTAGCTGGGACATAAGCTTTGTGTGTATGAGATTCTGGGTTTGATTCCTAGCTGGGCGGTGGTGGGGGAGAGAAGGGTGAAGGAGAGAGAGACTACTTCAAACCTACAGAGAGGAAATATGGATATTAAAAGTATCCAATACTTTGACCTTAGAAAAAGCTGAGTGCAAAAATCTTTATTTTGCTTTTAGTGATTTTCAAGACATATTCCTATAACGTTGCAATGTCTGCCTGGAACTCAGACCTCACACATGCAAGGTAAGAGCTCTATGACCAAGCCTCATTCCCAGTTCCAGATTCCCTTATCAGTGAAATGTGTAAGATAATGCCTATCTATCCCTAGCATTGAGGGAAAATTTAAAGATAAGCATGGAAAGTACCCTTTGAGATCCTGGACCTTGGAAGGTTTTAAAGGGAAGGAAACCAGAATTGTGAGTGAGAGAATTTCCAGCACTTCAGAGCTCTACCGAATAAACACTTCTAGCAGGCTGACCTAATACGAGAGGCTCAAGTTTGTGCTGGGGGGATGGGGGGTGGATATAGACAGACTATGTGCATAGAAGGAGGCACAACTGAATTCTGGGAGAGAAGGGAAAAGATCAAGACATTACGCGTTCATTTATTTCTCAGATCCTCATTTCCACCAAGCCTTTTCGTTTGGAGTTAGCGATAGTACCTTGCTTCAAGTCCACCCTGGGTTTATCTGATAGCTACTTGAGTTAAACACGTGCACATACACACAGGTACATGATATTTCCTCCTGCTTGTAATTTTCATCATACAAGAGTGATGCAGATGTAGATGCCTTCGTGACTTCTTCCAACTCTCTCAGCAACAGACTCATGGAAGGTTCGTAAATCTGCCCTGGGGCTTCTCACTGTAGCCTACCTAGAGCTTCCTCAACATGCTGAAAAAATAAACGGAGGGATAAAACAGTCCACGATGAAGAAGAAATGACTCACTCAGAGCCAGGACCAGAAGGCAGAGAGGAATCTGATTGCTGCTTCACAATCACCTGATGGTTCTGGGGGCTCAACCTGCTCCACCGTGCACCTTCCTCTTGCTCTCCCCCGCCGCCCCTTCTCGCCCCAACTGTACCCCGCAAAACCCCAGCAGCCAGCCCCCGCAGCTAGCCTGGCGTAGCCCCTTGGCCCCGCCCCCGGACGGAGGCCCCGCCCCTCGGCCGGGCCCCTGAGGGATGAATGGCAGCGTGGCCGCCGCGCCGCTCGGGGCCCTGATTGGCCGGCGGGCCGGGTGACGCGCCGGCGGCCGCGGGAGCACGCAGGCGGGCGGAGCGGAGGGGGGCGGAGCCGGGCTGCGGGGCGGGGCGCGGGCGCCCGGGGGCGGAGGAGCCGGGAGGCGGGAGGCGGGAGGCGCCGGGGCCGTTTAAGCGGTCTCCCTCCCGCCCCCAGCCGCCCGGTCTGGCTCCGGCCCTGTCGCGACCCCCGTGCTGGCCCACTCGAGTCGTGCCCCGCCGAGCGGTCCGCGGGGCACGCGGGCGGCCTCCCGAGCAGCCCCAGCCCATGAGGGCCGCGCGCCCGGCCGCTGGCGCTGACGAGACGGAGCTCCCGGCCCCCGAGGAGGAGCGGAGGATCAATGCGGTTCAAGAATCGATTCCAGCGGTGAGCGGGATGGCGCCCCCCGGCCCGCCGTCCACGCCGGGAGCGGGCCCCGGTGCCTGCCTCCGCCCGCGTGGCTCCCGGGCTTCCCCACCTGGATCCATCCTCCCCTCCGGTGGCTCCCGCGCCCTGGCCGGGGACCAGCTCCCCGGGGATTCCCCGCCCTGGCGGCCCGGGGATCCCTCGGCCCGCCCCGATCACCCCCCACCCGCAGCGCTCCGCCCCCGCCCACCCTGATGGACCCCCCTCCCCTCGGACCCTGGACCCTCCCTGCCCCCCGGAGGCGGGGGGTCCTCTGCTCCCTCGGCTTCTCACCCCGACTCCTGCCTGGCACTGCTCATCCTCTCATCGCCCGATCCCCGAGGCGCAGGCGTCTCCCGGCACCCTCGCCCCTGGCCTGATCCCCCACCCACCCAGCTCTCAGCCCCAGAATGTGTTTGGGGAGAGGTGGCGAGGGGGGCGGAGGGGCACCCCAGGCGTGCAGCACTGGGGCCGAGGAGCTGCTGCTGCGCCCTGCAGTTTGCTGTGCCGTAAAGTGGGGGTGCTGGGCGGTTGGGGTGTTTCGTGCGTGGCCCCAGCCAGCAGGGAAACTGAGGACTTCCCCCCTCCCCTCCCTGCTGCTCCAGCCTTTGCTTGACCAGGTCCCCGGGGAGGGGGAGGGTCCGGATTCTCGGGGCTCCGAGTCCCACAGGGGCGATGCTGTTTCGGGCCCGAGTCGGGAGGGGGACCCTGGAGCCGGGTGTGTGTGGGGGTGCTGAGATAGTGCAGTTGGGGGATGAGGAGGCACCCAGGCGGCACCGCTTGCAGCCTGGCTGGGTGCTGGAGAGATGGTGGAGGAGGCCCCGACCCAAAATCCCGGGCCACCCCGGGATCTTGGAGGCCGGCCCGCGTTCGGGAGCAAACTGTGAGCCCCTTTTTTGGTTTGTTTGCGTACATTCTTACCCATTGAAGTGGGTGAAAGTTCAGCCCCCCCCCCCCCTTCCTGTACCGACTCTCCATCCATCCCTTTGTCTGGATGGGGCAGCCACCCCTATGCCCAGTGCCCAGTCTGGCCAGTTTCGTGCGTGCGGTGACAGGCAGCGCTTAAGAGGACAAAAAGGGATGAATGCGTGACACCCTTCCCCGGAGTTCATCGCTGAGTGTTCGGGCACTGCCATAGTTTATGTCCCATCTCAAAGTGCACTTTTTTTTTTTAATGTGTGTGTGTGTGGGGGGAGGGGTGGTGCTGGTCACTTCAACTGAGTGTTCTCTCTCTGCGCCCCCCTCCTCCGTTAAACGTTGATCTCATTTCTTCCCTCGACCCAAAGAGAAAGCAGCCAGAATTGTTGAGGAGGAGTCCCCGCGGACTGAGCAATCAGAAGGGAGATATGGAGTAACTTCTGATTTGTGATCAGCACTTAAGAGTGCTGTGAATGCGTGATTCTAGCCCCCACCCCACCCAGCAGCAAGAACGCGGTGCTCCCCAAAGGCGAAAAGGAACTGCTCCAGTTCTGGCCTGAGACCCCAGTTCTGGCCTGAGACTCAGAGAGAGAGAGAGAGCGTACAGCCTGGGGGGCCCGGGGGGCAGCGAGGAATGCAACATGCACCCCTTGCAAAGGCCTGTGCCTCGTGCACGTGGCTTGTTTGATCTGGTTTTACTTCTCTGCACATCTGTGCTCTTCCTGTTTTCAGAGAAGAGTGGTAAAAATAATGTGAAATTACCCGTCCTTATTTGATTATGAGTTTGTTTTTTCCTGTTATTTAATGACATTTTTTTTTTTCAGGAAAGAAACACAAAAGTCAGTGTTCTTATTCATCACATTGATATTAAAATAGTGTTAAAGGAAGTTTTAAAAATATTTTAGAGGGTCTTAGCTGGTTGATCTACTTGGAGGTGGGGGAGCTCTAATCTCTCCAGTCGTGATTATCACAGTAATGATGTGGTTTTGCACTCTGTGCTGATGGAAGTGGCAAGAATAAGCATTTTCCTTTGGTGGGAGTCCTGTGGTGGACTGCACAGTTTTTGCCTGTGGCTGTACAATATCAGTGGCTATCTCAAACCTACCCTGGTTTTGTATTTTTTCCATGAAAATCGCGTGATTCTGTTACTTCTTGATTCTCTTTTATAGACTAGATTTTGAAGAACTTATTTCTGGGGGTCAATTTGAATGTAGAAATAAAACCTGCAAATAAAAAGTAAAATAACAAGGTCCTGGTTTTTTTTTTGTTTTGTTTTTTTGTTTTTTTGTGGCCCACACACTGAAAGGTTATGCCTCTAACACCACAGTCTGTTCTACCACTTTGGAGCATGCAAGGTAGCTACAGGTCAAAAAAAAAAAAAAAAAAACAACAACTGTCAGAGGGCTGGAGGGAGGGACCTTCCACCTTTGAGTACCGTACCGAATGCTGCTTCTCCTGATATATTCCTCAGGATTTAATTGTAGTGGACCAGAGTTTGTAGCTCTGCCTGAATTATGAGAAAACCTGAACACCTTGCCGGTGTATTCATAATGGAAACTTGGCAGATGTTGTGGCTTTGGCTCAATTTCCGGAGTTCTGCCATTTCTGTGGAGGAAGGCTGGAAGGAAACAGCCCACGCTCTGGGAGGAGGACTCTGCACAGATGACTTCAAAGCTTAGCATGAACAAAATTCTCCTGGGAGAGAAATACTGAATTTTAGTCTTCTCTTCACATGGGCATCTATCTCCCGACAGCAGCCACACATACTTACACACAGAGAGCCATCTCTTCATCCTAAGAAGTCCACCTGACTGATAAAATAACAGCTAACATACCAAATGTCTTTCCTGTACCAGGGTATTGTCTGAGTCTTGATAAAGTACCTGGTACAGGAGAGTGACTGAGGAATCTACTGATAGATTCCACTGTAGCCCTGGAACTCGTCAAATTGCATCCCTTTTTATAGAGGAGCAAGTAGGGTTAGAGGATGAAAGACTTTAATCTCACCGCAAGGAGGGCCAGAACCAGCCTCTCTCCTCTCTGTCATCCCAAAGCTTCCCTGAGAATAGCCCAGAGCCCGCATGTCTTGTATCTTCTCTGTAACTTTCTCCCACCTTAGAACCGAGAATCCTAGGACAAAAGGTGCTCCTTTCTTTTCCTGCCCCAGTTGCCTGCCTGACCACTGGGGTAACTTCAAAACTGAATATGATGTAAAGCTTTAGGAAGTCTTCTCAGACGGGAGCACTGAGTGTTTGGGAAGAGGTAGGCTCCTCCTCTGTGTTTTCTCTCTGATTTAATGATAACCATTGCCCACACTTGTGACAATAGATTCATTGCTTGAACATCACGCTCCAGCATGGGAGCTCACCAGGTGCTGTGTACGATGATGCGGAAGGGGGAGAGTTTTCTCTTCATGAGACTCAGGGTTCTTTTGGCCCAAAGGCTCCCGGTTTGCCTTGCTGCAGATTTCCAGTGAAACTGAAAGAACTCTGAGAAATCTCTTGATAGAGATAAACAGTTAGCAGGAGGTAGCCTGTCTGCTGCCCTTTGGTCATTATTCATTCGTTACTCCTTATTCATTAAGCTCTAGCAGGAATCTCTGTCTTATGCCTAGGCTTGGGAATGAAAGGATGTGTACCATGGCCTTTAATGCAGAGTTCACGTTACAGTGGGGGGAAAGAGGAAATAAAATGTGGTAAAAGTCCGATTCTTAACTGATGGAGCCCAGGGCTCTGGTGGCTGGATAAAGACACTATAAATAGGAAGGACCATCAAGAAAACCTCTGAGGAGGGAAAGCTGCTGAGCTTGCAGGACAGAGAACAAAGTCATTCTGGAGAAGAATGGTCTGGAGGAAGGAACAGATGCAAATGCCCTGTGGCAGATAGAACCCCAGCTGGGTTGGGGGGTGGGGAGCAGCAGTTGGGAAGCTGGAAGGAGGTGGAATTGATAGAGAGTGTGACCTAAGGAAGATAGGACAAAGAGGCAGCCAAAATAATGAAAACCAAGGGCCAAGGCCTAGGTACCACTTTGGGAAGCCAGAAACAAGTATTTTTTTACCTGGAAGCTAGAGTGCTCTGACCACACAGGTGCTGTATAAAGAAAAGCGTCTTCAGGCTAGCATGGACCCATTAAGATAAACAGCCTGTTTGCAGACCACAGATGTCATCATTTCTATTAACCTGTGTCCTGTCCTGTAAGATCTGTGGAACTCTAGAGGGTTGAACTCTTGGATTCTGTTCTGAAGGTAGCTTTGAGAACAGGGCCTCTGGAGGATGAGCAACAGGCAAGGGAGCCTGGGATTTGATCTGAGGTCTCTGGTCTGCTGGGGGGTTGCAGGTCTACTTTAGGCTACATTTTAAATGTTTTCAGCCTGCCCCAAACCTCTCTGGGTCCCCACTCTTAGCTGTTCATTCTTTGCTTGATTTATTTATTTATTTGGGGGAGGCAAACCCAACAGTGCTTGGGACTTTCTCCTGGCTCTGCACTCGGGGATCATTCGTAGCAAAGTTCAGGGGACCCTAGTCAGGGATTGAAACTGGGTTGGTCACGTGCTAGGCAAGCTCCCTACCCACCACGGTATCTCTTCAGCCCCAAAATGATGTCTTGGAGAGGAGGAAGACACAAGAGGATAGGTTAACTGGGTAAGAAGGAAGAGGGAGAGCATTGAAAAGGGGGAGTGAGGAGATGAGTCTATAAACCCTGCTGAATCAATGGCTTTATGAAGTATGGTATCTATCCCCAGGGCCAAAGCACCTTTCTTCTAAAACAAAACAAAATAAAAAAGCTCTGGAAGCATGTTGGATCCTTTCTGGCCCTGGGTAACCTTTCTGGTGACTTCTCCTTAGGTAAAGGTGTCTTTCATAAATGGGAGCTGTTTCCTGAACACTTTTCTCATCCTTTGGGGGGGAAAGAGAATAGTTTCTGTGTGGAGGAGTTGATTTGCATTTTACATCTGCTTTTTAACTTAAATCTTAGGAGCGATTTTATTTATTTATTTATTTATTTATTTTTTCAGAAAGCTCTGTTGGAGGCAGGATCTTAGCCTGTCAGGTCAGAGAATAAATGGAGAATTTGCATTGTAATTTTCCCAGCAGAGCACTGTGCTGCCTCTCAGGAGTGCCTCCCCGCCTACCCGCTCCTGAAGCAGTCAACTCCAAGCAGAGGGGGGCTCCCTCTCCCTTATTAGCCGAGACTGCCTCATCCATAAGGAGAGACCCTCTTTAGTCTGTTTTCCGGGTGGTCTATTTTCCTACACATCTGAGTTGTTTTTTTTTTTTTAAGCTGAGCTTTTCCAGGTGGGTAGACAGAACTGTCACACATATGGCCATCCAGCCTCTTTGCTTTTAGGAGAAAATGTAAAAGTTATCCCGGTTGCTGTGTAATGGCTTGACTATTTTTAGATTGGGCTGCCAGAGATATAAATTGCTATTTTAGTCTGCAGCCTGGTGGTGGGTATACTAACCCGACTTACTGCACCCTGCATAGAACACTGTCAATTTAATCTGTCCTCAACCATCTTGGGACTGTGCTCTTTGCCCCTTAAAATTCCTAATAGGGCAAGCTACTTATAACGCGGTTGTTATGTCTCATGGTAATGATGTGGTAGATCCTTGAATGCTTGGGACGCTTTGAAAGCATTCTTCCCAAGAGTGTAATTATTTTCTTTTTTACTAATAAGAGCTGTATAGCAACACTTGCATCCCTTAGGAAATTAGTAAAATTATTTAAAGGATTTAAAGGATTATCAGGGGAGAAAAGATTTATTTATCTGTGTTCAAGAATAGCTTGGATAAATTCTAACACTGTTAACTGACTATTTCTCTTCAACAGTTCTCAGTTCTTCTGGCGAATTCTACTTATTTAGTGCATATTTTATATAGTTAGGTAGGTAAGGAGCTAGCTCCTTGGTGCTCCAAATAAAACACCTTCATTGTTTCAAACTCATTCCCCAGTGGATTATCTACCTGAGCTCTCTGTATTGGGTTAATGGGGAAATGCCAGTTTATTTCTGTTTACTTATTTGATCATCTTTGTTCAAAGAGAATATACTAGCTAGTCTTATAATTGCAGGCTAACAGTATAGAGTGACTTGTTTTAGCCAGTTATCTTTTGGGGGGGAGGTGGAGTTGTGTGCCTTACAAACCTCTGTGCTCAGGGATTGTTCCTGGCAGTGCTCAGGAGCACCATGTGGTACTCAGGATTGAACCTGGGCCTCTTGCATGCAAAGCATGTGCTCAGCCTCGTGAGCTCTCTCTGGCTCTTGTCTTGACCGGTTCATGACAACCTGACTACAATTTTGTTCAACTTCGCATTGTTTTTTTCATCATATCAATTTAATGAGGTTTCACTAGTGGCAAATAAGGAAATCTCCCCCATTACTTAACCTGCAAAAGTAAAGGACAATTCATGGTTCCCAGCCTGTTGATATCTTGCAGGCTTCAAGCAGGAAACCAGTGTGGGCTTGTGGATCGTCAAGGCTCTTGTCTCTGCCTTGTTTCTCTGCCTATGCTGCTTTCAGGCATCTGCCTTATTTTATTTATTTATTCACTTTTTAAAAAAATGACTTCCAGAGTTGTCTTGCTTCTTTCTTCTAGAGAACAGACAGGTTAAACCAAAACCCCTCATAAGCCCTTGCTCATGGGGTTTGACGGGGACCTTCCCCACACACCAAAAGCAGGGGGTGCTTCTTGTCCCTTAGGATATTTTGTATAAGTCTGCTTTTCACTGAGTTGCTGATTGCTTTGTTAGCCCAAAGGGAAGTGTGAAATATGGGCTTACATCTTCAGTAGCTTTTCATATTAAGATATGCACACACATTGTCAGTTCCTCTAGATTTTATAACCAGAGTGTTGAATATTTGTTATTTATTTGGTATTTGAAGCAAGCTCATTCAGTTCAGGAAAAACAGGCGAAAATGAACCTCGTAATTCAGGTGGCTTAGAGGCAGCCAGATATCATTTATTTAAGCTGTCTGTTGCTAGATCAGGTAATACAATATAGGGAAACTAGTTGAACGCACATACTAATCAAGAGACACAGGGTTTAAGGATCTGTGCATTAAAAAAAAAAAAAGGATCGGTGCATGTAAAACTTTACAAATTTTGAGAGGAAAAAACTGAGAAACTTTTAAAGGCAATGTATCCCAATTCGTGTAGTGATAGTCACATCTGTAAAGTTTAGAAAAACTCCCCCTCTACCCCCTTTGTTTTCTGTTAAGATTTGGCTGTGCATTGAAAAATTTTTTATTGCCGTGTGGACTAGCAGTTGAACGTGTAGGGTAGATATGGTTTTAGTTTACTCTTGACTGGTAGGTTTTTCTTGTGAAAGAATACTTAATCCACTAAACTAGGACATTTGTTTTATGACCTTTGCAGTTGTCTCAGTTTACACCAATTGAAGAGTTTTTGGTTTTGTTTTCCGGAACTAGGTATTACCATAGTCACCTCTTTATTGAACCACCCCTGGCAGGCTTCCTCCCCTTCTCCCCCCACCCTCCCAACCCCTGTTGTTCTTCAGACTTTGGACTCTGCTCACTTGAGAGCTTTTTGTTTCCACAGGTTCATGAACCACCGGGCTCCAGCCAATGGCCGCTACAAACCAACTTGTTATGAACATGCTGCTAATTGTTACACACATGCAGTAAGTATGAGTTACCTGCCTTTCCCACCCTTCTCAGCGGGTACTCTGAGGGAGCAGAGCCAGTCACCTTGCAGGGCTAGTGTGGTCGCCCATCTCTGTGAGCTCACCTCCCAGGGGATCTGGGTTGGTCATGTTATCAGGAAGTGTGAGCTTGTGGACCCCTGACAGCTATAACCTCCAGTCATCCCTGGTTCATCCCTTTCTCCATCAGGACCCTCTTTTAAAAAATAAGAGTAGGGGGTTCCCGAGAGCACTCAGCGTGACCATATGTATGGTATAATAGGGATAGAACTCGGGTTAGATGTACGAAGACAAGTGCCCTACCCACTTTACTATTGCTTCAGCCCATGAACTAAATTTTTGACAACAAGGTTGTGTTTATTTGTCAAAGAAAGTTCACTAGCTGTTGACTAGCGGTGCTTGGGGGCTGCTCCCAGTGCGGTGCCCAAAGATGAAGGCACTGTTTGGTACTGGGGGTTCAACCTGGAGTTCCCATATGCCCAGCTTATGCTCCAGTCCTTTATGCTATCTCCCTGCCCATTTTTTAATTTCTAAACTAAGTGATCCTTCAAAACAAGTGGCTATGCCCTTTCCACTCTCATAGAGCCCTTTATTTAGCAGAGCAGATGTTGTTCCATATTGAAGAAAGTGCTAATTTGGTTCCTAAGTTCTTAATTTTTTTTCACCCTTATAAGAGCAAATATTCTTTAAGAGAAACTTAGAAAATACTGAAAAATAAGCAGGAAAAAGCTACTCAGATCATTAACGCTCATGTGCTGTGTTTGATGTCTGGCATTTTGTGCACATGTACCTGTTTATAGTTCCCCATTCATGTCATGAGTGGTATTTTCTTGCATCAACATAAAGTATTCTTTGTGATTGTATTATTCCCTTTAGAATTTGTTGTTGATGTTGATATTGCTGTTGGTTCTCAGGGACTGTCAGTGGTACACACCCAATAGTACTGGGAGACACTGTGCTGAGATTAGACCCGGACCTCACTCTGGTCTCTTAGTAACATTTTATATTTTATTTTCTTATAATAATTTTTCTTCTCGGAAAGCCTGGCAAGCTTCTGAGAGTATCCCGCCCGCACAGCAGAGCCTGACAAGCTCCCCGTGGCATATTCGATATGCCAAAAACAGTAACAAGTCTCACAATGGAGACATTACTGGTGCCCACTTGAGCAAATCAATGAACAAGGGGACGACAGTGCTACAGTGCTATAATTATTTTATTTTATTTTATTTTATTTGGCTTTTTGGGTCACACCTGGCGGTGCAAAGGGGTTACTCCTGGCATTGCACTTAGAAATTACTCCTGGCGGTGCTTGGGGGTACCATAGGGGATGCTGGGAGTCAAACCCGGGTCGGCCTCATGCAAGTCAAACACGCTACTTTCTGTACTATCGTTTCAGCCCCTCTTATGATAATTTTAAAGGAGATACCCCTAGCATGCTTGAACCTGATGTGCTTACGGACCACCGGCTACACCTTACAGTGCTCAATGACCCTGGAGGTTAACTGTACCCATGTAATGAGGCCTCTTCTTCTTTCTCCTCTTCCACCACTTTGCTTCCTCTTCTTCCTCCTCCTCTGCCTCTTCCTCTTTTTTTCCTCCTCTGCTTTTTCCTCCTCTTTTTTCTCCTCTTCCTAGTCCATCTCCTCCTTCTCTTTGACTTCCTTTTCCTCTTCCTCCTCTTTCCTCTCTTCCATGTTGGGGATTTAGGTGGGGGCCCTGTGCATGCCAAGCCATGCTCTCCAGCCCTTTGAACAATCCCCAACACTTTTTTTTTTTTTTCTTTTCGGGTCACACCTGGCGATGCACAGGGGTTACTCCTGGCTTTGCACTCAGGAATCACTCCTGGCAGTGCTCAGGGGACCATATGGGATGCTGGAATCGAACCCGGGTCGGCCGCGTGCAAGGCAAACGCCCTGCTCGCCGTGCTATTGCTCCAGCCCTCTTCCAAATATACCCCAAATTAATTTGTTTTTGGTAGATTTTGATTCTTTTATAATAGAACAGTGCCGTTTGGTCATTACTTAGGATAAGTCAAGCTTGATAAACCATCTCTTTTATATATTGTAATCAGATATTACTTAATAATGCAGAAACACCCTCATTTATCACTGACAGTTCTTTTTTTCCTTCAGTGCTAAAAATATTCTTATTTAAATAATTAATATGCGGAAATCATGCTAAAATATTTTTCGTTAGGGAAAAATGTGTACCTGTCAGGCCTGTCCTGGATTCCATAAAAGGGTTCAGTATTGAAATTCAGAGTCACTTCTAGTGGACAGTCTCTCTGGACCCATGGCATAGATTCTGAGGACAGGGAAGGTTTACTGGTCTCTTGACAGGGGTCTTTGCCGTAACAGCTGTTTCTGCCATAAGAACTGGGAGTGAGTTTAATAATTGCACTACAGCATCAGAATGTTTAAAATGTACAGCCTACAATTTGATTTTATTCTGTAGTTGCTTAGTATCCTTTTTTTAAATTCTTTATTAAATTTTTGATTAATTTAGCAGAGCCTAAAGTAAAATTACTTGTAAGTAAACAACTGTGAGGGTCAGGGATTGTAGCTCAGTTGTAGAGCACATGTGTTGCGTGTGTGAGAACCTGTGTTAAGATTTGGATATCAGTACTATAAATACTTGAATCACAGTTGTTGTTTTTTTGCTTTTGGGCCTTACCCAACTGTGATGGGGCTTAATCCTGGCTTAATCACTCCTGATGGGGCGCTGGAAGTTAAACCCAGGTTCGCTGTGTGAAAGTACCTTACTCACTGTACTGTCTCCCTTCAATCACAATTTTTGTGGCTTATTTCTATCATTGCTCCAATCTCCATCCATTATTTTTTCAATATACCACTTACAAAAACACTGATGAAAATTCTAGGGAAAAGTACCTTGATAAGCTTTATACCACTGATCAGTAAGAACAGCAAATGAAGTGTTGATTGCTTAGTATCATGTTGGTGATTTAAATGAATTCTCAAATCTGAGAATCATATTTGCTTGAGATAGACCCAAATCATCCCAGGATTTATCTTTTCTTGATAGATTACAGGGACGTTTGCACAAGCCAAAAAAAGAAAAAACTGTAAAAATCCCCATGTTAATTTTTTAGAACAGAAAATGCATCTTCTTAAATTATATTCCTAACTTGGATTTCAGAGACCAGTAAGATTTCTGAAACAAAGCACTTTTGTCATCATTTCATTAAAGAACATGTTTCACTTTCACATAAAAAGAAAAAAAACTAGAACTTAGATAATTTCAAAATAATATTATGAAAATCTTAATGTCCTTAATTTTTTTCTTTTGACCTGTGGAAGCATGAGCGTTTGGAAATTCAGTGTTATCTAAGGAGATTTAATATTCTGTTGCAAGAGGGTGAAAGTAGGCATTAGGAAGGGGAAAAAAATGATTGCTCAAGTTTGCTTTCTTTGCTCGGTATGCTTATTCTAACATTGGTATGGTTTATTTCTCCAAGGATGTGCTACGGAATGTTTCTTAGTGAAAGTTGCTGATAGAAGACATTGACTTTTTTTTTTGGACTATAAAAAAAAAGATACAGGAAAGCAAAATTCTATTACTCTGGTATATTAAAATTCTTTGCATATGAGGGAGTCAACTCTCTTTGCTTACTTGAAAGCTGCTATTAGAATTGAAATATCTAAGAGAGAGAGAGAGAGAGAGAGAGAGAGAGAGAGAGAGAGAGAGAGAACCCTGTTCATTCTACAGTAGTTCCCAAATCAACAGATTGTATATATCTGAACAATTGATTTGGCGGGGCAGGGTGCATTGTGTATGTGTGTGTCTGGAGAGAGGGAAAGGGGCTTGGGGGAAGGTGTCCATTGTAAAATTTACTGTTTAATCAGACACCCTTGCCATGCTATTGGGATTTCAGTGACTTCCGGGGGAAACAGGAAGGAATATTTTAAAACCAAAATTTTCTGGGGAAATCTGAGACACTGCTTGGCATATGAATGTTTTAAGTTCCTACTCTAAAGTGAAAGCACATGAAAGAATCGGATTGGCTGTGTTTTAATTTAATATATCAGGGTAGAGCACATTTCTTTTGTGACTCTTGAGTAAAGTTGCATCCTTCTCGCCAGGGGTTGTCCCAGTGATGGACAGCATTTCTGTGAACAGCAGGACCTGTGTGCAGTGCTGAAACTGACAACTTGGTGTGACTCTTGTTATATACTTGTCTTGCCCAGGAAAGGCAAATGCTTCAAATTATATTTCCTAAAGACAAGGGAGATGGCACAAAGGGCTGGGCTGTGTGCTTTGCCTGTGGAAGGCCCAGCTTTGGTCCCCCAGCCTGGTCCTCTAATAGCACTGCCAAGTGTGTCCCCCCAGTAGCCCTCCCCCCGCCTCCAAAAAAAAAAAAAGAAACCTAAAGTACAAATAAACGATCTTTCTAAAATGGGCCTTAGTGCACTTGTGTTTGTCCACCTGTCTCTCTGTCTCTAACAATGGACTCCATGCAGTAAGACCCAGGCTATGTGCTTTTGTGTCCCTTTCCCCTCAGTTCCTCATTGTTCCGGCCATTGTGGGCAGCGCCCTCCTCCATCGGCTATCTGACGACTGCTGGGAGAAGATAACAGCATGGATCTACGGCATGGGCCTCTGTGCCCTCTTCATCGTCTCCACAGTATTTCACATTATATCCTGGAAAAAGAGTCACCTCAGGTACCATGGACGGCACGCTCTTTTCAGCAGATGGGAGTAGCTGACTCAAGTCAGCCTCCTACAGTGGCCTGTTTTCAGCTGCTGAAGTGGGAGGAGACATTTCTCCTCCTCTCTTTGCTGCAATGCTACCCCACTATTGGGAAATTTTCTCTGGACCTGGCAGAGTTTGGGGACCCCCGCAAGTGTACCTAAGGGCGCATGCTTTTGCTGAGAAATCTCAAGCAAAATAACACTGCTGTCCCCAGGACGTAGAGTTTACAATCCAGAGGCCTGTGCCTCAGAGCTGTCAGGTTGCTATTAGCACCTTCCTGCAAGTGACAGCTGTTGTGTAGTGACAGGACTCAGCATTCAGACATCAAGTCCAGCCCTACCACTTACCCTTAGGTAAGTCACTTGACCCGATTGCAGCCTCAGTTTCTTCATCAGCGAAGTGAGAGTAATAATGTCTGACTCACAGGGTGATTGCAAAAGGCGGACGAGATAATGCATGTGAAAATGACTTGAAAATTATGAAAACTGAAGGACTGATATAACAAGGTCTCCGCCACAGCCAGGCTTCAGGGTCTTACTTGGTTCAGCTTTCAGATCTGGGTTCTGTACATCCATTCAAATAAGAGTCACATGCTCTCGCTGCTGTCAGCTGCCAGGCACTTTCCAAGCCATACCATGGACCTCTGTCTCCCAATGAAAAGGCCGTAAGAGCTCTCCTCATCCGAGGGAAGGCTTATTTGGATGTGAAGGGAGCAGCACACCATTTAGTTTTTTTTTATGGAATGGATTCTGCACAATCCAAAGGAGTGGAATTTATTCTCCTTAAAAGTAGATTCAGAGCAGACAGAGTAATTTAAAATAATTTGAGCACCACTCTCCTGGGCGCAAGCACAGTCAGGTCTGCTGAGCAAGGCGGAATAGCTCCAGGAATATCCCCTGGGCTCCCTGAAGACTGCTCGACTTGCTCCCTTCCCTGCTCCTGCAAGGAAAAAAATTGTTTTGACTGGGATGTAGCTCACTTGTAGAGCACATGCCTGGCATGTGTGAGACCTTGGGTTTAATCTCCAGCACTAACTCAGATAGATTTTATATATATACATATGTGTATATGTATATATGTGTGTATACCTATGATACATATATTTAACAGTAAGCCTTTAGATTTAGCATAACCCTTAACTATTCAATCTGATATTTAAAAGACATGCTTTATCTAAGAGTAGCATTATAGATTTACAAGACGATTATTACTCTTTCACATACAGAATCAGAGTTTTAGAGTTGGAAGTATCCTTAAGGGTCATCTGATTCCATATGCCTTGATTTCCACCTGGGGAAACTGAGGCTCAGAGACGGGGCCTAAGTTTGTTTATAACAGCAGAATTTGATGATCCCAGGATCTCTGACTCCAGACCTGTGCTTTTGCCCGCTCCCTTGCTTTGCCATTCTGCTTGTAGTTTGCAGTTTGCTACCTGTGCCTATAAAATGACAGTTCCCAGGATTAAAATAAAACCAGAGCATTGAATCACAAGGGCATTCTGGGACACACAGGAGCCTCAAAAGTACCTGTCCTGCGCCTAAAACCACGCTGTCATGGAATCTAGAGACCAGGGCACTTCATTATCTTCTTGGCACAATCTAACACTGTGGTTGGCTGGGCTGACTTGGCTTGGATTTCTAGATTTCTGAATCAATAAAGAGTTGTAGCCTACTTCAGTAAGCAGGTCCTCTTTGCCAGGGGCTGGGGAAGAAGATGTAATAGAAACCAGATTCTCTGGAGCCTCGAAATAGCCCTGCTAGAATCATAAGCCACGTGTGGGTTTTTGCTCTGCATTACATTAAAAAAAAAAGTATTCAAGTTTAGCCTTAATTTAGTAAGAGAATGCAGGAAATGAATACTATTTAAAGTACCTACTACATCCTAGGGGCTGGGCTATGTACATGGACCAGATGACCTTATTTACAACTTACACATATTCTTGTGATAGTTATGTCATTTCTGTTTACCTGTGAGGAAAGTAAGCTACCTATGGAAAAGAGGCCGGAGGATCACATATACAATCACACGTCGAATTTTCTCTGCTGTAACAGTCTAGGAAGCTGACTTTAAAAAGGTCTCAGACCTAGCTAGGAATCATAATATTCCCTCCAACCTGTATTCTATTTTCTAATCCCTTTAAATAGGAATCTTCCAGACTGGAGTCCGTGATAAGAGTTTATGAGTTCTCAGGACAATTTTGCTAGGCACTCAACTTAGAGAAGCATTTCATCCAGTGTTTGCTTTTTAGAATTATGGCATTACTTCTGCTACTTAACTATAATACATGACAACCCTCAGTAAGTCTAAAACATCTTCGGCCTGGCTTTGATCAACTCATGTGTGTGTGTGTGTGTGTGTGTGTGTGTGTGTGTGTGTGTGTGTGTATGTGTGTAGAGTGGGTGGGCAGGGGTACAGATGTCAGAGCAGAGAGGCAACAAGAGACAGATTCTAATACGTGTTCTCCACCAAATCTAGTCTGCAACTCCTTGGACACTGAGAATTGATTCGAACCGATGTGGTGCATATTTTAGTACTTTGGATTTATCTTAGCCCTTTCATGCATATTCTTTAAAAAAAAAAAAAGCTGTATATTTAGGCCAAGTTGTAACTGCCTTGAGAAAGTAGAACAAAAATGGAAATTGCAACATAGCTGAGTGATAACCCATACTTTCAGTTCTGAAACTCTGACTTGTTTTTCTCCCCCCAACTAGAACAGTGGAGCATTGTTTTCACATGTGTGACAGAATGGTCATCTATTTCTTCATTGCTGCTTCTTATGCTCCATGGTAAGACAATCTTTCTATTTTTGAAGATACTGTGTTTATGATTAGAATTCCCCAGTTCTTACTTCCCCTCTTCTTCCTGACACTGCCCCATGAATATAATCCTCCCTTTACTCCAGTACACATAAATCTCTATATCCCTGCACCCTCCAACATGCGTGCATACACACACACACACACACACGTTTCATCTATTTGGGTCAGATTGTAGATTTGAGGAATATTGCTGTTAAATATATTAAGGAAGAGATGGCTAAAAGATTGTTACTCAGAATTCAGATTGTTCCAGAAATGCTAAGAGCCTGCATGTCGTAGCACATACACTTGTGAAATCTGTCACCTTTGCCTTCCTTCTTCCTCTGTGTGTCTGCTGCTGTTCCAAGTATTACAGCATCTCATTGTTTAAGCAGAAGTGCCGAAAATAGGTGTGAGGCGTGCAAGCTTTTAATTTGTGCTATTTGTCTTTCACAGTGCACAGTAGCTACTAGAAAAACAGTACATTCCTCATTTATTTAGTTATATGAGTAACAAAACTAGTCAAATAGCTATTTTAAAACACCTAGTGAGGGGGAAGGATGGGGAAGAATAATACTCTGTTTCATTGATCTTCTTATGCTTTTGGTATGTATCAGATATAATTTTTTGTTTTGAAACCCATAATTAAGGAAATATTTCTTTTCCTTTCTTTCCTTTCTTTTAAAGGTCCAGTTTTAAACCCTCAGAAATTTGTATTATGCCATCGACAGCTATCGTCATTAGAAACAGTCAGCCTCCAGATTCTGACTAATACAGCATCCCTCATTCAAAAGAAACCTAATTATCTGTCAGAGTGAAAAGTGCTGTCTGCCTCCAGCACTTATTCCTGAGTTATAAGTCTGCATGTATCGAAGCAAGAACACTTAAAGGATTTTGTGAAGTCTACCTCAATTTTTAATAAGTAAATAAAAAATTATGAATGTAGGCTGAGGAATCAAATATCAGTGAGCAATTTATATATCATCAATATACAGGTGATAGCTTTTCCATGTGGAAATACTAATATTGTAGTAAGAGCCAATCAGGACAGTTTTTCTCTGTATTTTATTCTTCACATAAAATTAGTACAAATGAATTTGCAGAGGGCTGGAGCGATAGCACAGCGGGTAGGGCATTTGCCTTGCATGCAGCCAACATGGCCAACCCGAGTTCGATTCCCCTGCCCCTCTTGGAGAGCCCGGCAAGCTGCCCAGAGTATCTCGCCCGCACGGCAAAGCCTGGCAAGCTCCCTGTGACATATTTGATATGCCAAGCACAGTAACAAGTCTCACAATGTTACTGGGCCCGCTCGAGCAAATCGATGAACAACAGGAGGACAGTGATACAGTGACAGTGAGTTTGCAGGATCTTAAAATTTAGGCTTCACAAAAGCCCATGGTTAGGGTCTAACAAAACTTCTCCCCAGAAGCCCAGAAGTTGGCCGAGTGCTTTCCAAGATTGAAAATTGTGAGGCAGAGAGTTCAGACCCATTACTACCTGTGTGTGCCGAGGCTGTTCCAATTACCCTCTGCGAGGGGCACAAAATGTCTCCCATAACATGTTGGTCTAATCTTCTCATGTTATTTCTTGGCAGAAAGATTGAGACTAGAGGTCCTTGGTCTGGGTACTAGGTATCTTTTATGGTCAGGTCACCCCAGTTTGCGATTTTGTTCAGAGTTCTTACTAAGCTGTGATAGGAATCTACTTATAATTCAAGATCGGAAAGCAAGCAAGCAGCCTCATCTGCGGTCTACTTAAAGAAGAAAATGTAGGTGTCACAAATGTACTGGGACTCATTCTACATGCTTCCCTCTAGCTGGTTCTATTTTAGAACCACAGTAGAATGAATCCTAAATCTTAAAGGTCAACTGACAATTTTATCTTTAATTTTTACACCAAATATCGCCATAGGATATTGAAATTGCAGCACAATGAGGTGTAGCCTCTCTTCCTGGTCTAATCTTAGGAACTCATTTTCCCTGCTTTTCGGTTTCTAGAGGAAAACTCAGGTTTTATGAATTCCCTTCATTTATCACTTCTATTCTTTTTTGTCATGTTTACATTTTTAGGTTAAATCTCCGTGAACTTGGACCCTTGGCATCTCATATGCGTTGGTTTATCTGGCTCATGGCAGCTGGAGGAACCATTTATGTATTTCTCTACCATGAAAAGTAAGAGAAAATAATTTCTGTTTGATGTTAGCTGTCTAAATTTTGTATCTATGTTACAACACAATTTATGTTTCCCTCTAAAATAGTAGAAATACATAAATAGACTATCTATTGTTTGAACAAATCTTCAAAACCATCTGGCATTCTTTACTGGGAGACAAATTTCTGTGGAAAGAAATGAGTGGCAAGTGGCCAGTTTGAGAACAAGGTAGACTCACAGTTGGGCCTCATTCATATCCTCAGGCAGAAAAATAGCTTTACTCTCTGGATGTAGTCATCACATGAGAAAAATCACTGCTTTTTTAAAGATTCTGTGAAAATTGTAGCTCATGGATATTAAACAACCCATGTACTACTAATTTAGAATGGATCTTGAAGATGCTCAAAACTGCGATTCCAGGAGAAAAACAATGTCTGGAAAGGCATCTAGTCCCTAAATATTCTAATTATGGGCACATTAAAAAGAACATTATTCATAAATCATAGCCAAACCCATAAAGCAAGATAAAAACAAACTCTGTTGAAATTTATATTTCAGTTTGAGAGGAGACCTTCAGAGTCACCTGGTCCAGCTTCATGCTTAGAAAAGGAGAACATTTATCAGATTAGTGACTCATCTACGAAGATGAGCCTGGAGTGCTAGTTCTTTTTCTGTGTTTCTTTTCACTCTTTCATATGCTTGAAATTCACAGCCATTAAGATGATTGCTTTGGATACTGTTTATTAGTTTCTTTATTGTGGTTAGCAGAATGGCCCTCAAAATTGAATATAATTTGTGTTTTACACAACATACTAAATTATTTACCTTTATCAGGAGAATATGGGTCTCTCTGACTTTGAAATTCATTCAGAATCACTTTTGAACATAATTAGCAATTTCTGAGTGGTGTTCATACAGTAAACAGAAATGCAAGGGAGTTTATGTCTTGGGCTTAAATTCCTAATTGATACTGGAGTGAAATAAGGCAGCTAGCCTTTCTCTGACTGTAAACCTTCTGGTATAAACCAAATCTACAAACCCGTTCTTTCCTTTCTCCTGATATGATTTCTTCATCATGTTACTGGTGCCCGCTCGAGAAAATTTATGAACAGTGGGAGGACATTGCTACAGTGCTACAGATTTTGATTATAAAACACTACAAATTACATATGTGTCACCCTGGGCCATTCAGTTTGGCACTTATTAGGGAGAATGTACTTAAATCATACCAAGAGACTATTGGAAGTTTTGCAGATCCACACATAGATAAAACTTGGCCCCTGCCTCGAGGAACTTAAGGACCTGGTACAAATAGGCAGAATGTGAGTTGAATTGTAATATAGTGTGTTTCTAAGTATATCCAGAAGTTTTATAGCCTAGTCTCGCAAACAGGAATTTGTGCAGATGCAGAAAAGTAAATAGAGTCAAACAAAAATACAGGCCCTTTATTACTTAGAGCCCTTTGGTGCTGATAATACTAGGTGCTGAGCTACTTCCTTGTCCATCCTTATAATTTCCATTTCTTGTAGCTGTGTATTACAATGATAGTGAAGGAGAAAATGAATGGTGGATTGAGTTCAACAATGTCTTTTTAGCAGAAAACATTTCTAGGTAGCATTTGGACTTTGTTGCCTTATAAGTCTGTAAAGAAATGCTAGTTCATTGCTAACTCATTTGCTAGAGGCCAATGTTTCCTACTGAGAAAATGCATTTCTTTTGAATAGTGAAGAGTTTACATTTCCTTTTCAAAAGAAGGAAAGAAAACCTGTTATGGAAAGGGTGCACTGCTGTAAAAATAAATTAACTGCATTTCTGTCCTACAGGTATAAGGTGGTTGAGCTCTTTTTCTATCTCACAATGGGGTTTTCGCCAGCCCTGGTGGTGACATCAATGGTAAGGAGTAGCTATATAATTTTATTTCACGCAATTTCCTTGTGAATCAACAGAATACTTCACGACCACTATAAATACATAGCTTTTCACCATAAGAGGAATGCTGCCTATTATACAAAAAAAATTTTTTAACATATGTATATTATATATATATTTGCATGCGTATAGTTTAAACATAATCCCATTTCTCACTGGGAGAAAGTTGAAAGGGGATGGGGGTGGGGGGGCGAAGAATATTAATGGTGTGATGCTTGAATTCATAATGAAGGGTGACATACATGTCATACCTAGTATTTTATAACCAAGAGACAGGAAAAAATGGGTTTGTGAGTTTGGTTTCTATTAGAAGGCCTGGATTAGAAGGGGAAAAGGATAGCTGCCTTACTTGGTGGTAGTGGTGTGTGTGTGTGTGTGTGTGTGTGTCTGTGTGTGTGTGTGTGTGTGTGTGCCTTAAAGACCAAATTAGGCAGTTTGGTCCATCAATAGAATATAAATAGCAGTACTAACACCTTGTACTAGCTATTCTCTGTAGTTTGATAAAGCTCTATATTTAGATGTGTTTCTTTCTATGTAGAAATCTTTTGTATTCTCTTCTACCCATGCACCCACATCCCCTTTCAACTTTCTCCCGGTGAGGTATGGGATTACGTGGAAGTGGGTATTTCTTCTTGCGAATTCTTAGTGTCTTAGACCTGAATGCATGGGAAGGGGTAAATTTTGAAGTGTGATATAAGGGGTATAATTTAAATTACCAGCCTCTGAAATCTTCAGAATTAGAAGGACCTTAAAAGATTGTTTAGTTCAACCTTTTATTCTATTTTTCTGATTCTTTCACCCTTATTTTTCTTTCACTTGCTTGTAAGTCATATTACTGCAAAAGAAATACCTTTTTTGTTTGTTTGTTTGTTTGTTTTGTTTTGTAAAATATCTTACTTGAAAATGTCTTGAGGAACTTTCAAGGATAGAAATGTACCATCACTTGTAAGCAGTTATTAGGAAATTTCTGTTGATCTGAAATAAATATTTTTACATCTGCATGATTCCACACAACTGGCTACTTGTGTCTTTAGCTTGGTTACTTGTGTCTTTAGCTTGTATATTCCATTGCCTTGTACTCTACACTTTTAGGGTGCTAGAAGTTACATGTGTTTAGTTTGAACTCTCCTCTCAGCATACAATGGTCAGAAGAACTACATGATCATTTCACTCCTGAGTTCTTAGGCATGTTAGAAAAATATCATTCCACTGTACATAGTCTTGTCCAGGTTACAAAAATATAAAAGTTTAGGGAGTTGTAAGTTGATGTTTTTTTTTCCAGAAGAAATGTCTTGAGAATGTAACAAATATGTCTCTTTGAGAAATGAGCCTCATGAAGCTTTTAATAGCTACCTAGCCCCCAAATATATGTAGTTCAGTTGATAAAGATAAGAGTAGGGAGATGGAGATAAGTTAATAACTCCAGTGAGAAAATCTGCCTGAAAGACCATGTAGGGCAGTTCAGGACACCCAGTATAAACAAGGTTGTGTAGATACATTAGTGATCATTAGAATAAAACTTCAAGCCAATTCCACTGGGTATCATAAGAGCAGGTTTGTCTAGTACATTTACTAACCTAAATCTTTAATTGGCATTTTCATAAGAAGTAAAATAGCAGGTGACTAATGTTGGCAACCAGGCAGGATAATCCTCACACTTAACACCATAGAACTTAGTATCAAGCAGGAAAATGCAACTCATATTAAATAATAGACTATAATAAAGTTTTATCATATCTTTGTTTAGAGAAAGTGAGGCTATTCTGGGAGCACATGTTAGATGTACCAGAGGAAGTTATCTTAAGTAAATGCAGAAAATCTGGTAGAAGCCAAGAGTAAGTTGGAATGATGGATGTGGTACAGGTAATTCTTTGTTTAGAGAAAGTGAGGCTATTCTGGGAGCACATGTTAGATGTACCAGAGGAAGTTATCTTAAGTAAATGCAGAAAATCTGGTAGAAGCCAAGAGTAAGTTGGAATGATGGATGTGGTACAGGTAATTCAATAGGAAGGAAGCCCTGAGGACGAAGAGGCACTGGTGTCTCTGAAGAATTGAAAATAGTTCATTGTTTGTTACACAGGTATTAATACTGATTCAAGCTTGCATCAGTGCATGATGGATTATTTTCTAGGTAGTGCAAATCTTGTGAGATGCCTTATGGAAATTACACAAAGACAACTTCAAAAAAAAGAACCTCATAATCTACCTCAACTAATAAAATGTAGCTGTGAACTAATGCCTCACAGCTTTAATCCTGGTCTTCAAATGGGTAAAACATATTCATCTGCCATAAAGAATGATAAAACTAGGAGAAGTACATCAAATAACCCAACTTGCGTGTGTGTTGGGAGGGGGTGGAGCATGGGGACCAGAGAGGGTGAGAGAAAGACAGACAAACAGACAAACTTTACAGGAATATGATTTTTAAAGGAAGAGAAACCAAAAGATCAGCTTCCAACTCACCCTGTTTTCTGCTTGGGAACATGTTGCAAACTCCAAGAAAAGGAAGTAGAGGCATGAACTGGAGAGGTAGTACGGTGGGTAAGGCACTTGCCTTGTACACTGCTGACCTGGAGTCAGTCCTTGGAAACTGATTAGGATTCCCAGAGTACTGATAGGATGGTCTCTGAGCACTGCTAGGTGCCACCCATTTAAGAGGGAAGGAAGGGAGGGAGTTAAGGGAGTAGGAAGGGAGGGAGGGGAAGAAGGTTTTACCCAATGGAAATGGAAGCATATTATATTCACAAAGATTTGTAAAACATAAGTGTGAGTTTTATTCATAATTGCTTCACAGTAGAGCAGAATTGGAAAACGGGGTCAGAGCAATAGTACAGTGGGTAAGTAGGGTGCTTGCCTTGCACATGGCTGATCCAGGTTCCCCTGACACCCGATATGGTCCCTTGAGCCTCACCAAGAGTGATCCCTGAGTGAATAATCAGGAACAAGCCCTGAGCACCACCACATATGGGCCCTCCAAAACAAACATAAAATTGAAAAACAGTAGATTGTTTATCAGCAGAATACCCAGTAGTAGGAATGAATATCTAATATGCACAAGCATAGGAAAAAAAATTCAAAACCCGATTGAACAAAATAGGAAGACACAAGGAGCCAGAGTGATAATAGAGTAGGTAGGGCACTTGCCTTGCACCTACAAACCTGAGTTCAATCCCCAGCACTCCTGTGGTCCACTGAGCACCACCAGGAGTGATCTCTTAGTGCAGAGCTAAAGGTAAGTCCTGAGCATCACCGGGTGTGGCCCATAAAACAAAGAGGGAAGGAAAGGGAGTAAGCCAGACACAAAACTATAGAGTGTATTTCCATTTATATGTAGTTTGAGAACAGATAGTGGTGATGACAATAAAAACTTGGTTGCCTTAGTGGAATGGGGTGTTTGGATAATTCTGTATTTTGATAGAAAGGGATGGGTAATACAGGTATCAAAACTTACACTGTCTACTTAGATCTATGCATTAAACTGTGCATATCTATGCATTAAACTCTAAATTAATATTCAGGGTTGTGATTGTTGTTGTTTTGTTGATTGGTTCATTGGTTTTGGGGCCACAGCCAGCTGTGTTCAGGGCTTAATCCTGACTCCGCTCAGGGATCACTCTGGGCTCAGGGGACTACGGGGATTCTCCAGCACTGACCTTCATTTTCCCTTCCAGCCCATACTCAGTTCAGATCCTGATTATGGCCCTTATAAGCTGTGTGGCGTTGGGTAAACTATGAAACCTCTCTGTGTTTTAGTAATAAATCTAATTTAGAGTGGCAGAGATTAAGTGAGTTAAGCACTTGGGAGTGCTTCATATACATAGTTTCCCAATAATGAGATTGATAAAGAAGAAAATAGCGTTTGTTTTAAAATTACTTTTATTCTGTGAAAGTTGATACGACAAACGTGGAGTATTAAGCAATTATCTATTAACCAAGTGGTTGTTAAAACCAACCTGCTTGCTTGGTCGAGCTCTTGCTTATTGTTTCAGCACAATGAAGGAAAGATAATAATTTGGGGGAACAGTAACCAGGTATATGACTTTGTTTAGGCAACTTCATTTCTCTACTGTTTCCAAACAAGGAGGTTGTGTTAGGTGAGGGATTTTTAACATGTGGAAGGCCTTTTTGTGTGTGTGTAGGGAATGGGTGATTTGTTTTATTTCCACAGTAGGACTAAGGCTCTCATCACACTCTCAAACTGACACACTGATTCCAAGATAGTAAGAGGGACTAAAGAGAAAACTATTATCGGTCCATTTGAATTGGTTCCCTCCCCAACTTTGGATCCTATAAAAACTCAGGGGACTTCCTTAAACTTTGAAGATTCTCGTCCCTGGCCCCAGATCCTCATAGCTAGTTCTTTCTCACCCATGGTCATCTTTTGCTGATGTTGCTTTGGCCCTTTAATATAAAAAGGTTTATATTAAACCTTTTTCCTAAGCTCCCTGATGAGCTTTTCCATGGGGGCCTGCTGTACAGCCATTAGCACCCAGGCATGTGGTAGGACACCTGTACCTCAGCATCGACTAGAAATTTACTCACCCTATAGAACCTGAGACATCTTTATTCCAAACAAGGAGGTTGTGTTAGGTGAGGGATGGGACTGGAATGGAAGGGACTGATGTATTCCTTCACCAGCTTCCAATCTATGCACTGCCTTTCTTTTCTCTTTTCCTCTCATTCATACACCCAGTTATGCATCTGGGCTAGATATTTGGGTTGTTGTTGTTTGGAGGGGAGGTAGGAGAGCAGTGTTTGGACTATACCCAGAAGTGCTCAGGGTTTACTCCTCTGTGCTTAGGGATTACTCCTGGCAGTGCCAGGGATTCAACTGGGTTCAGCCATGTTCAAGGCAAGTACCTTAACCACAAGCACCTTAACCCCTGAACTATCTCTCAAGCTTCTGGGAAACTAAGTCTTTGAAAAGCAACAATAGCCCCAAAATTCTCCTTTATGTGGTAGAATACAGATAACTGTTACTTTCCAACTCAACCAAGAGATGCCCAGACTCAGACAAAAACAACCCAGCACTTGGGGCTGGAGCGATAGTACAGTGGGTAGGGCATTTGCCTTGCACACGGTTGACCTGGGTTTGATTCCCAACATCCCATGTGGTCCCCCGAACACCGCCAGGAGTTATTCCTGAGTGCAGAGCCAGGAGTAACCCGTGAACATTGCTGGGTATGACCTAAAAAAGAGAAAAAAAAAAACCGGCCTCATCCAGAAGATACAGACTGAGATGATACTCCACGATCTCTGATCACAACCGCTGCTCGCTGTCCTTTTCCTGTTACAGCCCTCAGGAAGCTGAATGGCTCACACAAAGCAAGGGAGGTCCCAGAAAAGCTAACCGTGTTTGAGCAATCAGTCAACAAGAGGCAGAAAAATTCAGGCAGAGATGTGAATTATAAATGCAGCGGTGTGGGCGTGCCTCGTTGGGGAAGAAAGCCTTTAAAGGGGAAGATGAAAGCCAGGGATTGCACTTTATTGAAATGAACTGTCCTGTCCGGATGTGATCGTAGTCTGCTCAGACATGCTGAAGCAGAGCAGACTGGCTGCTTTCATCTGGGACCTGTAACCTGACTGCCTGGTCAAATCAGGCCAGTACAGCCGAAGGTAACCCAAGGAGAAAGAGACTGTTCAATTGAGTTCATATTTACAGAGCAGAATTCTGTCCTTGCTGAGCCACTTATTTTCTAGAAAACCTGGAAGCTTAGGAGGGGATTGCAATACCTCTCTTAGTTTGTCACATCAGAATAACATCAAAACTTCTTTTTTGTTTTGTTTCTTTTCCTCTTTTGACAGAATAACACCGATGGACTTTACGAACTTGCCTTTGGGGGCTTAATTTATTGCGTGGGAGTTGTGTTCTTCAAGAGTGATGGCATCATTCCATTTGCCCATGCCATCTGGCACCTGTTTGTGGCCACGGCAGCTGCGGTGCATTACTATGCCATTTGGAAATATCTTTACCGAAGTCCTGCAGATTTTATGCGACATTTATGACCAATTTGTACTAGGTCTCCAAACCAGTATTATTTTAATTATGGCACTTGGGAGTCGGGTAAGACCTGAACATTGCACAGAGGGAAAAAAAAAAAAGAAGATACTGCACTGACTTTATCTTTATATCTTTTGACTATATTTACTGTGAAAGTCTAAAAGCTGTGTTCTGGAATTCTTCCCCTCACAGCAGATAAATAAGGTAGTGAATTAATTCTTCATTCCATTCCACTATCATGAAGGACTCTGCATAGACTTGGCCAACTGATGTTTACAAACCCGGATTTTGTATTTTCATTTTACAGATTTTACTACATGATTTTTCTAAATTACTAGGGCAGGTTGTAAAAGTCAGTGCAATTACCAAGCTTCCTTTTTAAGAGAAATTGTTTCTATCACTTTTCCCATCAGCTATGTAAAGAATCATGAACAGAACTTACACTACCTTTACCATGTTTCATCTTGGCATAACATGGTTATTTTTTAAATAGAAACTTTAGTTTTTGTAAATTTTTAAGAAATATTTCATTGAAGTGCATCTCTGCAGTTCCTCATTCATGTGAATTTTTGCAGAAAATTTTCAACATTCCACAAACAAACATTATACCTCTTCTGGTCGTTTTATTAAGCATGGAGAGAAATTGCCAATTTTTAAAAAGCTACAGTTTTCCAAACTTTTCTGCCAACCTCTGACTCTGAATTCCGTGCTGCTTTGGGCCATATACTTGACCAAGTTTGGTTTACCAGTGATGGAAAAGTATTTTGATATCATTAACTTTTTCAGAAGATTCAGCCTTTTCTCTCTGCCTTTTGCCATGTTTTCTTCAGGGGTGTTTTTTCCCCAGTGGATGAGTGTCCATGTCTGTATTCTGATAGTATTGTCGTGTTGGCCTTCCACTGAAAACTCCTGAAGAGCATTATGAAGTACAGCGGCTAAGTGGTCCTGCCTGTTTGGTGCCTGACAGTTAAGTCATTGTCACTTAGCTTTGTATTATCCACATGACACGCATTTTAGAATTGTGGAATTAGATGCATAAATTCACATTTCTGCCTTTCTCCTGCATCCCCTGATGTGATTTTCTTTTTCATAGAAAAAGATTTAAAGCATTGTTTAACAGAAGCTCACTTGTCTGTAGTCCACAAGTTATAATATTAGCTCAGTGGAGTGGTATTTAATATATTGTGTTTGGTTTTCCCTCAGTGTCTTATATTAAGATTAACATATTACTTGCTTTATTGATTAATCTCCTGTTGGTGTTTTAATAAGTGAAATAGCCTTGCCTTTAGATTGGGTACAGAAATGACCTGTTTTCTTGTAATGGGTTTGATCATTGTTGGCTTGACAATACATTTGGCTTATTCGTGTAATTTTGTACTGATAATGGCTTTAAAAGAGGATTGTGTGTGTGTGTGTGTGTGCGCGCACGCATGCACCTGTGCATGTGTGTGCCTGTGTGTGTATGTTTAGAATTCTCTGATGAATTGATGAATTATCAGAGAGTGAAGAATAGAAGAACTAGCATTTGCTAGCGAATTCTTAAATCGTGTACCCAGTGAAAACACCAACCAGACCACTTTTGTCTGCATGACTCTCTGAACATCTAGAAACCTGTTGTTTTATTGTATATATTTTGCTTTAATATATTAACTTGTGTGGATTTATTTAAAATCTGCTCAAAAGTAACACTGTCAAAACCACTAAAATGTATGTAAAAAGTGTGTTGTAGACTAGAATAAAATTGTTACTTGGATTTGTCCCACTGTCTCTAAGTAAGATAACTGTGGAAATGTTCATGTGTTTTTTTGAGAATTTGAGTTCATCTAGTATTTGCATGCAATTCATATATACTAGAGCCCCCCCACCCCCTTTTGTAAAAATTAGAGTGGGAAGGGGAAAATGACTCTGGGGACTGGAGTGATAGTACAGCTGAGAGGGCACTTGCCTTCCTGGCCCACCAAAGTCTGATATCCCACGCCCCCTAGGGTCCCCCAAGTCCTCCAGGAATGATTCCCGAGTGCAGGGCTGAGAGTAAGCTCTGAACACTACCATTTGTGCCCAAAAACTAAACAGAAAAACAAAAATTGCACTCTGTTATCTAGACCTTTCCAGCCCCATCCCCTGGTCTCTTTTGGTCCTAAATAAGAAACCCAGGGCCTCATACCAGTGAGATGTGTACTCTGTATACCCTTGTCTCTAGTCCATGTTTTAATAATGGAAATGCCAGGGCTAGTTTATATATTAACCAACAAGTATTTTCTATTTAAAATATTGAATTTAATCAGTCCTAAACGGACCCCAAAGTTTGTACATAGAGTACATGATGTAATCATTACCCAAGGAAGCCTTTTTGCTTATAGAATGTGAAGGTGGACGGATGTTACGGGCTTTTATATCACCAACCAGATACACATCGCACTGCAAACCTAACAACTCTTGCGTATCACTCTCCAGGCCTTTCCAACAATACCGTGCCTTCACAGTACTTTTGTAACGGCTTATGCACCGGTTATTTATTTTATACCTGGAATGCCTTTGCCTCAGCCCTCTCCTGCACTGGCAAATATTTGCTCATTCCAATCCTTCATCTGATGGCATCTGCTGTGTCATTGGCTCAGACCCCATTTCGTGGTTAGTGCCTTCCTTTTTCTCTCCAGCACTCCATGGCCCCTGTCACGCACATGGGAAGTGTGTCTGTTTGTCCTCTTTCTCTGGGGTCAGTCCTGGGACTCATCTCTGTCATTCTCTCCACCTCTGTCTTCTAGCATGGCTCTGATGGAGCCCCAGAAGTGCAGAAGAGGGCTGTGAAGGAGAGAAAGTGGAGAGGGGTAGGTTGGAGGAATCAGAGTAAGAATAAAGCGTTCTTCAGGCAGGCATGGTTCTGATCCAGTTCACAGTGTTCATCTCAATCTCTGGGGCAGGCTCCCACTGAGTGACTGGAATCTGACTGTCAGCTCTCCTCCTGCATTCCCCTGGAGATCCCTTCTGCATTCCCCTGCGGGGTGGGCCTGAGGCTCAGAAAGGCACAGGAAAGTGGATGAGGAATTGCTGTGCAAATGTTAATGTGTCCAGGTGGCTAGAGCGATAGCACAGCGGGTAGGGTGTTTGCCTTGCATGCAGCCATCATGGCCGTCCCTGGTTCGATTCCCAGCATCCCATATGGTCCCCCGAGCATCACCAGGAGTAATTCCTGAGTGCATGAGCCAGGAGTAACCCCTGAGCATCGCCGGGTGTGACCCAAAAAGCAAAAAAAAAAAAAAAAAAAAAATTGCTAGCGTGTCCTAAAGAAAGAGAAACCCAAACTTAGTTGTTGGAGCTCCTGGAGGAACAGATGTATCAAGTCTGGAGCATCATCTTTCCTAACCTGTTTCCCTTCTGGTACATTAATTTTTTTTATTTTTAAAATCTTTATTTATTTGCCTTTTGGGTTGCACCCAGTGATGCACAGGGGTTACTACTGGCTCTGTACTCAGGAATCACTCCTGGCAGTGCTCAGGGAACCATATGGGATGCTGGGAATCGAACCCAGAGGTCAGCCGTGTGCAAGGCGAACGCCCTACCTGCTGTGCTATCGTTCCAGCCCCTGGTTCATTATTTTTATTTTATGATAAAATGAATAGAAACAGCACTGCAGTTCCGGTCTTACTCCACCTTTGAAGTATTGTAAACACTTTTTTTTTCAGATTTTTTACTCTACAAGCACACAAAATGGGGCTAGAAAAATAGTACAGTAGTTAGGGTGTTTGCCTTGAATGCAACCAAACTGGATTTGATCCCTGGCATCCCATACTGCCAGGAGTTATTCTTAAGCATCCCCAGATGTGACTCCAAAACAAACATACATACACAAAAAACTTTGGAGAATGCAAGACTGAAGTAGAGAACTCAAAAGTAAAACTCAACCTCATGGTGATTCATTAAAAAATAAAAAATTATAAAAAAAAAAGTTTAACTTATTCATCATCTAGTTTTGTTTTTGCATAATTCATGACAACTTTCCTCCCCTCTTTTCAGTATTTGTTCTTTGTTTCATTCAATGATTTCAAATATCTGTCTATGTAATTTTACATACTGCTTTTTTCGCTTATTTCTTTTATAAACATTTAGAAATATTTATGCATCTTCAGTATTCTTTGTTTCATGCACTCATTTCAAATATGCTGTCTATGTAATTTTACATACTGCTTTTTTCACTTATTTCTTTCATAAACATTTAGAAATACTAGTATATAGTTTTTGTAGCTAGTGGTTTCTTTGTCTCTGCCATGGTCTTGGACTGGATATGCAGTCTGTTTCGTTTAATCATCTACTTGATTTTAGATCCTGTAGATTGTGTCCATTTCTTCATCATGACAGCAGACATGTTGGCATGGTTTTGTTCTTGTTTGTGGGGCTTTAAGGCCTTAATGAACAGTTGGTGGATTGGCTACTTAGTGTGCTACTTTACACAGATCATTTCATCTTTACCCAAAAACCTTCTGGGCTGTTGTGTATTTTATACTATCCATCTTACAGAGGAGGAAACAGCTGATGAGTTTCCTCATCCAAGGTTAAGTGGCTGAGCCCGAGCCCAGGAAGGCAGGGGTCAGCTTTTATTCTCAGGAGTCCAATTTCCAGGTCAAAGGAAACCCAGGGTTCACCCAGAGGCAAACCTTATCAAAACAAAGCTCCTTCCAAACCACTGCATTTCCCTTGTTCATTGGGTTTATGTCTGCTCCTTCTCCAGTGCTAATTACAGAGTGGGTGGGAAAACCTCCAAAGGAAACTGACCTGGAAGAGGCTGGTTCACCTCCCTCCTTGTGGAGCAAAATAGTTTCCCAGGAGGACCCAAGGCATGTTTTGAGTTTAAGGAGGTTAGAATGACTTGCATTCATGTCTTTCTGCTGCTCTTGCTATTTTTAACAGACACTGCCAACATGTTCTCTGCTGTTGCCACCTACATCCCTGCAGTGTATCTGTGGTGTTATTTTTTCCAAGAAAACGTGCTACTGTGCACTCTGGCTGCTCTGTGGTGCAAGGGGAGTTAAAGATTTTCTCATCTGGGGCCTGTTCAGTCCACCCAACAAACTTCCTGCTATTTCTCAGCTCCTTATCACTGGGACTTTCACTGCACTCAGAATTGTTACATTGAAACAGAGTAACCAGGCCACAGAGAAGCTTGGAAAAATGTGCTTTGGAATCTCCCTGATTGTCCCAGGAGGAGTCCCAGGCCAGCTGATTCTTCTGTGCCAGGCCAGTCTTGACCACACCTGGTAAAGTGGTTCAGTCACCAAAAGAAGTCAAGATTTTTTTTTCCCTCAAAAGGAAACTGTTGGGGCTGGAGTGATAGCACAGCAGGTAGGGTGTTTGCCTTGCAGGTGGGTAGGGTGTTTGCCTTGCACGAGGCCGACCTGGGTTCGATTCCCAGCATCCCATATGGTCCCTTGAGCACCTCCAGGAGTAATTCCTGAGTTCATGAGCCAGATGTAACCCCTGTGCATCGCTGGGTGTGACCCAAAATGCAAACAAATAAATAAACTGTTCTCTTAAAATCAGGAGCATTTTCTGACTTGTGTCTGCCAGCTACATGGGGTTTTAGTGGTGGTGGTAGTTTTGTTTGTGTGGGAGCTACACCTAGCAGTGCTCAGGGGCTACTCCAGGCAAGTGATCAAGGGGCCCAT